TCCATGGCCCCGCTCCGCCCCTGGTGGAATTCTGGCGTGAGCAGGGGTCAGCCACGCGCAGAGGGGGGTGGGGGGAGGAGGGAGGGCTTCTTAGAAACGCCCCTGCTTCTTAGAAGGCGTGGGCCTTCTCTATAGATGTAAGGCCACTGCCTTCTAAGAAGCCGCCTCCTTCTAAGAAGCCCTCCCCCCTCGTGTGCGCACCCTCAAAGGGGCATGGATAAAACGTCGATCGCCTAGCCGAGACGACAGGGAGGAGGCCAGGGAGGATGTGGCCCCCAGGCGCTCGACATCCCCGCGCCTAGGGGCGGCCCGCCCTTGTTCATCCTCGGCGACCCGTTCCTGAGGACGCGGGTGCCCGCCGCCGGTCGAAGGAGAGAACAGACAGCATACACTTTCGGAACTACGCGCGGATCTCTTGGACTTGCTCCGGCAACACCCCTGGCGTGCTTCGCGTGCCAGGGAGCGGGGGCCAGATCCAAGAAATCCGTGCGGCCCTCCAACAGTTTGGTTCACGCCGCCGTTTTGTTCCTCAATGCGACGTCCTCGGTCGGCCGCTCTTCGGTCGGGCCTTTTCTCTGCCCAAGGCCGCTGCTTGATCTTGGCGCGGTCTTTCTTCCAGCCAAAGTCCTCGCGCTGGCCTCTCTCTCCGGATGGATCGGCGTACCTTCGGTGAGTTAGCTAATCATGTCTGCTCTTCTTTACCCTCGTCATATCTTATTCCGTCTGGGTTGGGGGGCAGGGGAGGGGAGGGGGGGAGAGAAGAAGGGAGCGAGCAAGGATGGGGAGCTTCAGACACCATCGCTTCGGTAAATCGGACCGGATCTGAACGTGCGTCGGATCGTGTCGCATCGACACGGAGTCGAGATCGAGCCGGCCAGATTCGACACCGAGTCGTATCGATCGGATCGAACCGCCAGTTCTGGGGGGGCAGAGGGATCACCGTCCACGTCGCTCGTCAGCGAGTTCCCCCCCCCCCCCACCCGCGCTGCCGTCGGGATCGCCCAGACTCCAGCCCCAAACCCGCCCCCCTCGGTGTTTTTTGTTTGTCCTCCTGGATCCCCCTCCTCCTGGCTCCCCCCGCGTCGCTCCCAGCTCCCTCGAGTGAGTGAGTGTACGGCGCCTGGAGCCACTGGGATGGCCGTACGTCTGCTCGTAGGTCAGGGTCATCTGGCATGGCGAGTGGCGTGGTATGTCCCCTGCATCGTTGTCGTTGTTGCAGGGTCTGCACCACCCCAATTGTGTGGTACTTCATGGGATCCTCAGAGGGTCCCAGAATTCCTTGCGGTTTGGGGGATTTCGTTTGGATCCCGTCGGACTCGGTCGGCATTTGGACGAAAGGTCGAAGAGGGGTGGTCGAAAGCTGGACGAATCTGGTGAAAATCGTGTTCGTGATGGGTGGGGCCAGGGAGGTCTCCAGGCTCCCATGAAGGCTCACCCAGCCCCAGCTCTCCGTTGCCGGACAGCCCCAGCCCTGTCCCCCGAAGAGTGCAGAGTCCAATCATCCTGCAGCCCGGTGAGCAGCGCTGCAGACGGGCGGAACCCTGAGTGGGAAGGCAACAGGCGCCAGAGGGAGTGGAAGAAGGCGGGCGGGCAGGTGGCGGCTTCCTCCTCTTTCGCATCCTCCGCACGTGTACTCCTCCATGGAGCCTCCCATGGAGCCTCACCCAGCTGCGCTCCGCTGGACCTCCCAGGAGCCCTGGCGAGAAGTGCCAACAGCTGCGCCGCGCAGCGGGCCAGCGCCCATGAGTCACCACCCACCAAACCACCCCAACCCAACCCGAAGGCCTCAACTTGCCCTCCATTTCCAGTGGGGGGGGGGGGTCGGGGAACATTGACAAAAACACATATGGAACCCGTACCCTCCCCCAACCCGAAATTCGAGTCTTCGGGTTGGGGTTGGGGTTGTCTGGTAGGTAGTCAACGAGGGCGAGGCGAGGCTCTGGCTGGGTTCTGCCGGGCGCGGCGCTCCGGTGGGCCTCCCAGGAGCTCACGAGAGTGCATGGAGCTGCGAAGTGGTCAGCACTTGGGGAGGGGAGCAGCCTCAATATTCAGGAGGGGAAAGAACACACAGACGCAATTGATCGTCGATTCCCAGGACAATGTGGGAACATATGGGAAGTGGGCTGGAAGATGAAAACCCAGAAGATGTGGGAAAATATGGGGCATGCTTTTATTTGTGTGTATTTATGTGTGTGTCCCGGGGCCCCTTCAAACATCACATATCATGGGTGGGTGGGGGCACACCCCTCCCAGACGAGCAATTGTAGCCCCCCCCCAGGCCAGTCACGACAGGGCGGCTGCCCAGACCGCCGCGGGATCCTCCAAGACAGCTCCAATCAGACCCCTCCCCAAATCAGACCCCCCGCCCGCTTCAATGTGACATCTGGAGTAGCTGTCTGGCTCTGCACAGGGCGTCGCTCCGCTGGACCTCCCTGGTGCTCACTCAAGAGCCCGCGGCTGCGGATTTAGCAGCGCCCAGGGAGGGGAAGTGAGTCAGAAGCGAAGGGCCATTGAGGAGGCGGCCAGAAAGAGGGGCGAGGAACAAGGGGAAGGGAAGAGGAGGGACGATGCGGGAAAAGGTTGGAAGGAATACCATCAAACACTGACTCAAAATCAGGACCCAACCGAAGTCGGGTTGGGAAGAAGGAGTGGCCGCCTTGACTCTACAGGCTTACGCCACATCCGCCGACCCCTTCTGTGAGTGTTGCGAGGCCAGGAGTTTCTGGCCAGCGGCGTCTTGTGTGAGGGTGCGGTGTCGCGCGCGGGTGGTGGCAGATACGCAGGGGGTCCAAATGTTTGCGTGATGCCGGTGGTCTGGGGCGTGTTTTGCGAGCGCTTTGCGTGCTGTGCACCCGGGTGCGGGGTGTCCTTCTGGGAGGTCGGCCTTTCGACCCGCAACCACGTGGAGGAGCACTGGAAGACGAAAGGAGCAAGAGTAGTGTGTGGAAGCTGTGATCAGCGAAGCATCACAGCGAAAGATGTGGCAGATGAATCGAAACGGGTGAAGAGGCTGTTGACGTTCGCAGCGCGCACGAAACAGTTCGCGCGGCAGCAGCACATTAGCGCCGAGCAAGATAGTGAGCACGTCGCGAGGAAGAGTAAGGTTGTATGCGCGGAGTGCATTGCAGTTGGCGTGACGGCTCGCAATACGGAAGCGTCTGGGGGTCTTTTGGGGGCCTCCTGGGGGCCTCTTGTGGGCTCCTTGGGGCGTCTTGGCGGTTTCTTGAGGGCCGTTGGCGGCCTGTTGGGGCGCTCTTGGGGCCCCCTGGGGCTCGTGGGGGCGGAAAGCTAGATTTTTGAATTGTTGGTTGCCCTCTTGGGCCCTTCTTGGTGCCGTCTTGGAGCCTTCTTGGGCCGTTTTGGGGACCTCTTGGGCCGTCTTGGGGCCATATTGGACCGTCGCGGGGCCGTCTTGGGGGCCTCTTGGGCCGTCTTGGGGCGGTTTTCGGGGCCTCTTGGGCCGTCTAGGAGCGTCGGAAAGCCCAGAAGGCGGATGTGTGAACATTGTACGCTTCACGACGGGAATACGTACATGTCTGCGTCCAGGGACCGTCTCGGGACGCATCTTGGGGGCCTCTCAGGGGCGTGTTGGGCCATCTGGAGGCCATTTCGGGTGTCTTCGATCGTTCTTGGACCGTGTGGGACCATGTTGAGCTCTCTTGGAAGCCACTTGGAGCGCTCTTGGGGCCGTCAGCGGGGCTCTCTTGGGCCGTCTTCGGCGCCGCTTGAGCCGTCTTAGCGCCTTGTTGGGCTGTCTTGGGGCCCTCTTGGAGGCTTCTTGGGCTGTCTTGGGGCGGTCTTGGGGGCCTCTTGGGCCGTCTGGGAGCGTCGGAAAGCCCGAAAGGCGAATTTGTGAAAAACGCACGCTTTACGAAGGGAACGGGATAATTTTTGCGTCTAGAGGCCCTCTTGGGACGCATCTTGGATGCCTCTTGGGGCCTTTGGGGGGCATCTTGGGCCGTCAGGAGGCCATCTTCGGTGTCTTTGATCGCTCTTGGGCTGTCTGGGACCATATTGAGCTCTCTTGGAGGCCACTTGGGGCGCTCCTGGAGCGCTCTTGGGGCCCTTTTCGGGGCCCTGTTGGGCCGTCTTGGACGCTTGTTGGGCCGTCTTGGGGCCCTCTTGGGCTATCTTGGGGCCCTCTTGGAGGTTTCTTGGGCCGTCTTGGGGCGGTCTTCGGGGCCTCTTGGGCCGTCTTGGAGCGTCGGAAAGCCCAGAAAGCGAATGTGTGAAACTTATACGTTTTACTAAGGGAACGGGCTAATTTTTGCGTCTAGGGACCCTCTTGGGGCGCATCTTGGAGGCCTCTTGGGGCCTCGTGGGGACCTTTTGGGCCGTCTTGGAGGCCTCTAGGCTCGTCTTGGGGCCATTTTGGGCGTGTGGGGGCGCTCGTTTGGCGTCTCGGGGCCCTCGTGGGCCGTCTTGGAGGCTCCTGGGCCCGTCTTGATCCCCTTTTGGGCCCAAAAGAGCCCCGTGACGCGCTCGTACTGGGCCCGGGGGGGGGGTCAAATCTCCGGTTTGGGGTCCCTGGGGGGGGGATTATGGGGGGGGGAACTATCTCACACGCCTAGAGACCCACAAGGGGTCGGCGGATTTGGCGCATGACGTCTAAAGAGCTTTCCACTGGCAGCAAACGGCGCTCGAACACCTGTCCCATCCAACCTCGACCTTTGACTTACTCAGGACGCCAGAGTCCGGCCAAGGTGAGAGTGGCAATCCGGAGCAAGACCTGTTTGGCCTTCAGCTCAAGACCCAGCAAAGCCTGGCACTGGTGCGCGGGAACCTGAAGCGCATCTGCTTTACTGGCGGCGAGCTCGCCAGAGCTTTGGCTGGGTAGTCCAAGGCCAGACTGTCAGATTGGATTGGGCCCCACGGGCCAATCTGGCCTGGCCAAACTGGATGATTTGGGTTATCCGCCAGACTGGAATCGCGCTGGCTCCCTCGCCAGATTGCCCCCGTTTGCCAGATTGGGCCTGCCAGATTGGCGCCAGATTGGCTTCGACTACCCAGTTTGGCCGCCAGATTGGCGCCAGATTGACGCCAGATTGGCGCCAGATTGGCCCAGATTGGGCCTGCCAGATTGGCGCCAGATTGACCAGGTCTGGCCGCCCAGGTGGGGTCGGAACACATGGGCCGGGGGATCGCACCCTGTCGCCGATGCAGCGGCCGTGCGGCGCGACCCGGCGCCCGAGGTTCTCAGGAGGGGAACAAACACAAACATGGGACAATATGGGAAAATATGGGAACATGTGGGGAATCTGTTTATTTGTGTGTATTTATTTGTGTGTCCCAGGGCCCCTTCAGTTTCACATTCCCTGAGTCAGATGTTCGGCCCGAGCCGCGCTG